AAATATAATCTGACCCAAAATGTCAATGCTGCAGAGGCTGAGAAACCCTGCTGTAAACAAAGTGATAGAACAAACCCCAGGTAGAAAAAAATATAAAGTGCACCTAATCAACACAGATTCAAATGCACATATATATATAAATATATATATACACACATCCTCTATAAATCAAAAAGAAAATGTATACATACATATGTATATATACACACATATATATACATAATCCTCTATAAACAAAAAAAAAAAAAGGAAAACAAGCAAATATGAACATGGGCAGTAAACACAGAGATCCTCACCCTGCAGGGAAATGTCAAGTGAACAGGTGAGAGAGCATTCTAAAACCAGTAAAGTGGCAAAAATGAAAAATTCTGACAATACCAAATGTCAATAATGATATAGATATCTGTAGTATACACTGCAGGTGAAAGGGTTATACCCATATAGGAATGTGGAGTGAGTTATAGCCATATATGAATAGGTATAAGAACATATAAATATATATGCATTCTTATTCATGCATTAGGATGAATAGTGATTAAGGATAATAGCTACCTCTAGGGATGAAGTGAGATGGATGGGAGGAACTCACAAGCTATTCTTCACAACAAATCTATGTTGTAGATATTCCTTCTACATGTCTCCAACAATTAAATAATATGCTCAAAGGTACAAAGCCAGCAAGTGGCAGAGCCTGGATTCAGGCCAAGGGTTTTCTACTGCAAAACGCAATCCTGTCCCCAACAGTGGCAAAATATTATGACCGATGCCCTAAGCTGTGACAAAATTAAAGCATTCTTGGAAATATTTCTAGTTTTCATAGAAATAGTCTCAATCAAAATAAGTCTAGAATGGGAAGAAGGGAAAATGGGGTAGACCCAATGCAGAGTAGGCAAGGCAAATGTAAGCTATAGACTTCTCCCCCAGAAAAAATGGACATGAAATTATCTGTATATTTAATATCAGTGGTTCACAAAATCCCTGAGCACTCACTAAAAAGCCTTTGGTTAAGAACATCTGCTTTGCACTGGGTGTTATGTGGAAACTAATTTGACAATAAACTATTTGTAAAAAAAAAAAAAATGTAAAACAATCAAAAAAAAAAAGAACATCTGCTTTAGGAAGAAGAAAAAGAAGGGGGAAATTCAATTATAATATTTGAACGACCATTCAAATTTGTTTGACCAGAGTTGTATTTTATTACCTACTGCAGAAGTATTCCAAACATTGCTCATGGTCAGAAATCTTTTGATTTGCCTCAATAAAATCTAACATTATTCTTACTATAATGAGCTCTTTGCTCCAGCACAATACAAACAATGAGACTGGTGATTACAGGAGGCTTGTACAAATGAATTTAACTAATTCTATCTTGTGTGTAAAGGTTACCTTTGTGGAGGGCTGAAATTAGAACAAAGAACAAGAGATATTAGGCTTAAATAAGAAGTTGGATTTTTTTCCCTATGTCCCATTACTTATAAACTATAGCCTATGTTACGTCCATATTTGCAAAATGCACAAGGTCTAACATCTTTAGTTTTAAAATAAGAATATGCCACACAATCTATTAGTTTGTATTTGTAATGTCCTTTTTATTTGTAATTTATTTTCTTTGTATGTCCTCCTTTTCCACTTTGGGGTAATAGTTCATGTCTTTGCTGCTCTCCAGTCCTCTTCAATATTCCCTCATTCTGCCACGTTTATCTCTTAAGCAGATGTAAAGCACAATATCTTGATTTCATGTATTCTGCTAACCTAGCTACTTTTGAATTAATGTATTTCTTTCCCTCAATAAATACACCTAAACTGGTTACTTTCTTAATTTATCTTTGTGGTAACTGAATGTTTTAATATGAATCTGAAATATCCATAGGATATACTGGTTCAAAATTATACTCCATCCAGCAGTCTTGTTATTTTACAAACACGTGAGTGCTAACTATGAGCAGCAAATGTGCCAAGCAGACAATGGAATTAGCAGACTCTTGCTGGAAGACTTCAAAAGTTAAGCAACATCCTAATAATTTTCCTTAATGATTGATAAAGCAGGTCAACCACAAACTCATCCACAATTTTTTTTCAAATGTTTTGTTGATTTTTGAGAGATAGTACACGCACAAGTGGAGCAGAGAGGGAGGGACAGAGGGAGAAGGACAGAGAATCCCAGGCAGACCCCACACCCACAGCAGTGAGCGGAGGCGGGGCTGGAACCCACCAGTTGCGAGATCAAGACTTGAGCTGAAACTAAGAGCTGGATGCTTAACTGACTGAGCCACCCAGGTGCTCCTTATCCTCAAATATTTGAAAGCTGTGTTTCAGCTTGCGTAACGTTTGGGGAGAAATTACTACATAAAGTGACTACTCGTAAGTTTGGCAATTAATGTTATCTCCTTGGACATTAAAGAATATTTTCTAACTCTAATATATATTTCTTTTTGTGGTTTTTTTTTTTGCTTAACTCTAATACATACATGTGTATATGTATGTACACAAATATACTATTCAAATTTGTACTTTATTATCAGCTCTAAGTGTCTTCTACACTTTGACCGTAACTTTCTTCTTTCCATAATTGAGAAAAATTATTTGTTATAGAGATTGTCCGCATGCCCCAACCTCTTATTCATTTTTTTCAGTGCACTGGAAAGACCAGACTAGAAGTTTTTTTTTTTTTTAATTTTTTTTTTTTAAATTTATTTCTAGGAGAGAGAGAGAGAGACAGCGTGAGCAGGGGAGGGTCAGAGAGAGAGGGAGACAGACTCAGAAACAGGCTCCAGGCTCTGAGCTGGCAGTCAGCACAGAGCCCGACGCGGGGCTCGAACCCACAAACCACGAGATAATGACCTAAGCGAAAGTCGGACGCTTAACCGACTAAGCCACCCAGGCGCCCCCAGACTAGAAGTTTTTAAACCCTGGATTTGAAACCTAGTTCTGTAACAAGCTGGCCACATGATTTTTGCACAACTGACTTAACTTGGCTCTCTGTACATTTTCTTTCCTTTCTAAACAAAGCATGCTAACTGCTGACCTCAAAACGTTGCCCTAAGGATGAAAGGAGATAAAGCATTTCCACTATGGGGCATGCTACTTGGCATAGAAACTGGGCCCAATCTATGGACGATGGACGCTACTCCCCACTTCTAAACTCCCTGGAAAGGACAGGTTTCCCTGAATCTCCGCCATCACAGTAACTAGCAAAGTGCTTCACACATCACAGAAAGGATCCCCACATACTGCTTTAGGAGGAAATCTCTAGCTTTTTGCTAAGTATTTCACTTCTATTACTTTTGAGGCAGCCCTAACTCCAGATTCAGGTACTATACTACCTGACATCCACCATACAGATAATAATATTAAGTTCATGTTATGCTTTTGATAACCTTTCAACAGCTTCCCAGCTTCTTAGAATACAATTAAAACTCTTCACTACGGTGTGTCCGACTTCGGCTCAGGTCATGATCTCACAGTTCGTGGGTTCAATCCTCGCATTGGGCAGCTGTGCTGACAGCTCAGAGCCTGGAGCCTGCTTCAGATTCTGTGTCTCCCTCTCTCTCTCTCTGCCCCTCCCCTGCTCGCTCTGTCTCTCAAAATAAAGACATATTTTTTTTTTTTTTTAAAATATTAAAAGGGGCGCCTGGGTGGCTCAGACGGTTAAGTGTCCGACTTCAGCTCAGGTCATGATCTCACAGTCCGTGGGTTCGATCCCCATGTCGGGCTCTGTGCTGACAGTTCAGAGTCTGGAGCCTGCTTCGGGTTCTGTGTCTCCCTCTCTCTCTGCCGCTCCCCTGCTCGCTCTCTCAAAATAAAATAAAGACATAATTTCTTTAAATATTAAAGAAAAAAAACCCAAAACTCTTTACTAGGTCTAGCGACTTACGTAGTCCCAACCTATTTCCCCCCCTCATGTAACATGTTCTGGTCGTCGCTACCCTCCACCAACCCCTCAAATACTCCAACCTTGTTCCAGCCCGGGGACTGGCTCCTCCACCATTTTCACAGGCTAGGCTACTTATAACATTAGGCTCAACCACAGCCTCCCCAGAGCCCTTCCCTTGATGACTCTGCCTCCTCCATGACCCTATTTTAAATAGTTTAAAGCCAAATCCGCTCTCACGAGTTTCCAGGGGAGATCAGGGGCCGTGTCGACTTTGAGTCCCTATGTATTCCCAGTGCCTAGAACTGTGCCTGGCACAGAGTAAGCGAGTGAGCCCCGGAGCCACCACCCCTCCTAGGCTTTCGGGGAGGGGTCGCGTGGGCGTTCGCTGGGGCAGCACGACCGTCCTCCCAAGCCCAGGTCCCTTTCCTAGGTCTTAAGGGCGAGCACCTCTTTCCCCCCCCGGGGGCCCTCGTTACGACTCGTGGGCGTTCCTCTCGTCGGGTCCCTGGATTCTGGGGAGTTTCGGGCACTGGGGCGCTGTTGCGGCCACAGCGGCTGGCCCTGGCTGCACTCACGAGGCTGCTGGAACATGCACGTGAGGAGTGAGCCTGGTGAGCCAGGGTGTCCCGCGGAATCCGACGGGGCCAGCAACGGGAACAGAACGCCGCGGCGTCAGCCTCGCCCCCCCGTCAGCAAGACTTTCATGGAGACCTCGGAACGCGATGCCGGTCAAGGACAGGGCATTCTTTCAAAAGCCGTGGGAGAAAGCTTGGCGCTGGTCACCAGAAAAGGACTTCCAGGGAACTGACTGGAAAACTCACCGTACATCGTAGGTTGCACATACGCCCCGAGGGAACTACACTGGAGGGAGGAGCGACACCTGAGGGACGAGCGAGCGCGCGCCCAGTTTGCGCAGCCGCGGTAGAAGCCGCACGCCCTCCAGCCAGCTGCGCAGCCGCAGTGGAGGCTCTGTGAGCCTAAGGTGGGGCGCGGGACTGGGGCGGAGCTAGCTCCTCGCGCGCGCTGACGCGACGAGTCGCGGCGGAAGGGTGTGGTCGCGCAGGCGCCGCAGTGGGTCGGGTGGGGGCAAGGAGGCGGGGCCGCGCAGGCGCCGTGAGGGGCGGTAGCGGCGGCGGCGGCGGCGGCGGTGGTAGCGGCGGCAGCTGTGAGGGGGTTCCGGGAAGATGGTGCTGATTAAGGAATTGTGAGTGGGTCTGTGGGTGCGTGCGGGGCTACGCGAAGGCGATGGTGGGAGGCCCATTGATTGAGGAGTGGGGGAAGCGGAGCATTCCTAGAAAAAAGAGAGCCTCGGGGCTGGCTGGCCGCTCCCTGCGCGCGCCCCCTCTCCCCGGCCCGCGCCCCCGGCCCACTGAAGGCCTCTCCGCTGCGCGCCCCCAGACCAGCTCCTCTGACGTTGCCGTGATGACACCGCCGCCCTCTCCCGTGGGGCGGAGGCGCCTGGGTCCCCGGCCGGAGCGCGTGGCTCGGGAAGGCGAGGCCGGGAGTTTCCGCTGGGACCCGCCTTCTTCATAGCCCCACCAACCCCAGTCTCAGCCTGGGCCCACCCGCAGATCCGCCAGTGGGCCCGAGCCAGACCCCGAGGGTGGGGAGGTGCGGTGGGTCTGATAGTGACTTGTCGTCTGGGGTGGAGCCTACCTGTAACCCGCGGAAGACAGGTATGCCAGGTGAAGACAGCCCTGGTGTCGGGTCTTGAGGTGGGAAGTAGGCGCCCTGAAGTTCAAGCAGGAGCCAGGAGTTCGGGGAAAAAGCGCGCTCCCAGGGCAGCTCCGTAGACTTACCAGGAGAGCCGTCTTTCTGCCCTAAGTCTCAGTTTTCATGCCTTTAAGATGGAGTGACACTCTGGGTTCCACTTACCTCAAGGGGTTGAGACGAGGAGTTCTTAACACGTGGTCTGTCAAATGCAATGGTTTTCGGTGCATCAGGACCGGCGAAGTGGTTTTACTGAAAAATTATGTCCTTTCCCACCGGCTCGGACTGTGACTATCACAGGAAATCTGGTTAGCCTTGATTGTTGAGTTGTCACAGCTGGTTCGTATCGTCAGCATCCTGTGGGCAACTCGGGATTTCGAGTGCGGCCTGTACCTTGTTTCAAGTGCTCTTCTCATTTTAAATTCTTAATCATAAGTTTTGGCTTAATTTAGCCGTCTCCAGACACTTTATTTTTAATGTTCTCAAACTTCTTTTAAAAAGTCACTCATTTCTCATTAGCACCCCCCCCCACCCCATCTGACTGTGTATAAAAACCAAAGCCCTTACAGTAGCCCACGTTAAGTCTTAATGCTGCTTCTGCTCTGATCACACTACCTTACCCTGCCCGTCCTGAGCTCACAATCTTCCTTACTGGTCTTTCACTGGTTCAGGGAAAACGCTCAGTTCGGGGCCTTTCTGCTTGCTGTTCTCTCTGCCTGAACCTTCCCTTATCTCATTAACCATCCTGCCTCCTTCAGGTCTTTGCTTAAGTATCACCTTCTTAGGAATCCCTCTCTGAAAACCTAATTGCACCCCAACCATTGGTATTTGCCTTTCTCGTGTAATTGTTGCCAGTAGCAATTATCACTGCCTAACGTGCAACGTTTTTAAAATGTTTTACTACATGTGTTCCTTTACTATATGTAAGCTCCATGAATTTGTTCATTTTGCTCACCATATCCCCAGCTCTTAGTCCTTGCAACATAGTGAGGGCTCAATAAGTACTTGTTAAATTAATGAAAAGTTACAACTCTAGGTGGTGACAGGGATCCTGAGAAAAGAAACATTTTCAGTTAAAGTTTATAGTATTGGATTTTGAATTTATATAAAGCTTTTCTTCCAAGTCATTTATACAGTGTATCATGAAAATTTTCTTTATTACTCTGACATCTTTGTAATGTAGGTAGGTGTAGATCCTAAGACAAATGGAGGGAACAAGACAGAAGGAAATTGACTTGGCCCAAGTCACATAGTAAGCGACTTGCCGAACTGATCTTAGATCACCGATCTCGTCATTTTTATTAGAGTTATTTCCTCCCTCCTAAAATATGAATTAAGTGTTCGCTAGATCCGTGTGACAGTTATGTGAGGAGTAGCAAGCTAATTCGTGGAAAGCAGTTCCCATTGGGAATCTGCAGAACACAATTTTTGTGAATCATTACCGTCATTGTAAATGTTTAAATGCACCGAGGTAATGAATGCTGTAATGTGCCCAACTGTAATTTTTTTTTCCCGAGGAGTTATAAGTGACATTTCTTGATGTTCACTCATGTATGACCCCCTAGATTTTTTTTTTCCTCTTAGACTTTTTGAAAGCAGAGACTGTTTTAAGTATCCCTCGTATGCAGCTTAGCATCTAGACCAGCATACTGTAAGTGCTCAGTGCTGTCAGATGAAAAAAAAAAAATGATTCTTCCTGCTTGTAAGTCAGCTTTCTAAAATTGTTTTTGGTCAGGAGCAATGAATAGGTCATTCCTATGTGAAGGTGTTGGTAAACTGTAAAATCCTTTGGCAAATGTTTGTTGTCTTAAAAAATGTCATCTATTTTTGACATGGATTAAAAGTTTAAAAATGACTGCTCAGGGTGGGGAGTTCCCTTCAAATTGTTACTCCAGCAATGGGTGAACTTGCCTTTTGCATAGGCCTAGTTTTAAAGATCTAGTTGCTAGTTTTATTTGGAATATTATTTTCCTGACAGTTTTCAGAGAATTTTGAAAATTTTCAAATTGCTCTAAAGTTTGAATACTACTTTGAGAAGAAGAGAAAATCAGAGCCTATTTCTTTTACTTTTCATTAAGCAAATCTTAAAGAATTTGACTCATCATTCATCCAGAATATCTTGATTAGTCATCTTCTGTTTTGTGAAATAAGTCCCTTAAAGTGTTGTATAAAAGTAGGGATCTTCCCTACCAGTGAGTAGTTGTGAAAATTACTCAGCAGTGATTCTTAGGTTTTGTGAAAGTTCAGGGAAGTCTTAACTCTTTCCTCTCTGTTCATTTCCTCTGCAGCCCATCTTCTTGGTTCAGGCCTTTGTACACCCTTGCCTAGCTTCCCCAAAGTTGCCTTTCCACCCCCACATCCTGCTTCTTAATGGTTTTTAATTGCCTACAGGTGGCTTCTTCAGATTAACTGTAGTCCTGTCACCACTTCTTATGAACAACCTTCTTGGATTCCTTGTTGCCTAATAAGTGTTAATAGATTTCTTACCGTTGTATTCCAGGCCCTGAAAATATGCTCCCAGCGTGTATCTTCATATTTTTCTTTAGCTTCTGAAATACACTCCCTGTCGGTATCTTATTCCCCCTCCGACCCCCACACCTGCTTGGCCGCAGTTTATTTTGCGTGATTGAGATAGCAAGTTAGTGTGTACTCTAAGGAGACAGTTAACAGGATTAGGTATGGAAGGATTTTTTTGTATGACAAGTTTATTCTTGATGAGAATAGGAATTAGTAGTCTTGGTGACTTGTCTTTAGATGACCATTATCAGAAAGACAAAGAATGCTGAGTGATCCCCGACAGTGAAGGAGAGTAGCAGGAGGCATGTTTTATATTACTGGAGGTCAAGATGATGTGAGCACTCCAGCGTAGCTGTTTCAGGAGGCTGGGGAGGGGGGTGGGTGGACAGGGCAGCTGAAGGAAGAACAGTTGTGAATTTTCTGTAAAATGAAAATCTAGGTGACCGTTGTGAATTTTTTTCTCTCCTTATCATAGAGAATTAAAACGAATTTTTAAATGGCATGACTGTGTCATTTAACGGTTAGTAGGGGAAAGTCTGAAAAGGACCAGGCCCCCCAAAAAAGTCACTATTTTGGACACCGGCTATTATCACGGGACAGTTGATACTTAGGGATTTTCAGAGTTTATGCTGGAAGTAGGTGAAGGTACTTCCCTGTAAAAATCTGATGATAAAATGCAATATTCTGGTACAAAATAATTCACCACGATATTCTTTTTTGGAATATATTTTCAGGAGCATTATGCCTCCATTTAGGTCCTTTTGTATGTCCAGTAACAGACTTTTGGACAGGATCAAACATCTGTTCAACCCTGGAAGGGTTATAATTATAAAGTTCAAAGTATTTTCCTTGGTACAATTTTTTTTCCTTAAGTCTAAAGGACTTTTTAAACTTGTTTTTGTCTTAATAAAACAGGAGTAATTGGGTAGTGGGGATCGATTATTGGAGGCGTTCGTTCAAGAGATTCAGGACCTATATCCTATGAGAACTATCGTGAAAACAAAGTTTGTAGTGTGGAGATGGAGAATGAAACTGTACCAAAAATTTCCTGAGGGCAACCTGACCAGACAGTCCAAAAGTAATCTATTTGGCACCCTGCAATTTTCAGCGATGAGCTTTCTCTTGTTCATTTTCTCCTCACTGGAATCTCTGCAGCTGCATTTGGGGTCCTGCTACAGTGAGGACACGAAACAGAATCATCACTGACACCCAGAAATAGTAGTTTATTTCCCCAGTTTAAAAATTCTTATTTACAACTGTAAGCATTGCGAAGACCCTCTTAAGTGACATTCTTGTATCATGCTGTCATTGGATTCAAAATTCTTCTAAACCTAGAGATCTGTGTTGTAAAGCTCAGTGTATTCCATACGTGATAAATTTTTTTTTTTCTTTTGTCCTTTTAGCCGTGTGGTTTTGCCATGTTCTGTTCAGGAGGTAAGTCTCACTTAATTTCTGTTTGTTTTCTTGATACAGTGTGTTTTGATACGTTAATCTAAAATCATAGTTTTATCGTGTTCGCTTACCTTTACATTCATACAAATGAATTATGGTATGCACAGATGATTAATTGTAAGTGCATTCTGCTACACTGCCTTGTTTCAGAAGTGTTTAAAGAATGTTGTTTAATCTCCTGTCCAGTTGAGGAATTCTGGCTACAGTATCCCAGAGAAAGGAGGTTCCCACCTCAGTGTGAGCATTGTAAGGCTAAGAAACTTGCTGCTCATAGGAACAGTATGTTTTACTGGTGGTTATTTCAGACATTTGCCTTTATGCCCAAATCTGCTTTCCTATAAGGTTTGTTGCTTACAGTCCCTTCCACTTGTGCGGTGGGAACTAAGCCTATTCTGACTGGCATATGGTAGCCCATTGGGTTTTCTGTTGGCCGTTCTGGCTCCTCCCCTCAAGTTCTTTTGTTCCTTCTCCTCTACGTGAGGTCATGGGGTTAACCATTCCCAGCGTGCTCATTTGGCCTGGTCTAATGTGACCTGTAGACTTCCTCGCCAGCTGCTCTCACTACATGCGGCGTAGTTGTTGCTCTCCACTGAAGCCACTGTTCCAAACACAGCCTGACCGGCACGTAGCTGTGAGAGCTTATCATCTCCCTTGATCTGCACGTGGTACAGAAACACACCTCCTCTCCAGAACTGCACATCCTGCAGCTGTAACTCTCTGTGGCATAGCTGGCAATGAGGATGAAAGCAAAGAAACAGATCTGTGTAGCAAACCCCACAAAGCCCGCCGGGTCCTTCTAGAACTTGTATACGGTTTGCACTTGCTCAGTTTTCTGGTTTTGCTAGAACTGACAGTAGATTAGAAGCAGTGACTTGGAAGTGGGACAAAACAAACCGATAACCTAAGAAGTGACAGCTGACAGAAGACAGAAAGGAACAAAATGCAGGAACTAAAATTGAGTAGCTGCCGGCATAGTTCAAAGCAGCCTTGAACACTGCTGTATACATCTCAGGGGTGCCTGAGCTCTCCCTGTATAAAACACTCAAGCCAGGCACCTCTGTGCTTTACTTGTGCAATTGATTGTTTGAACTTGAATGTGGAAATTGACATTTGTTTTGGTTAAAATTTTTCTTTTGGTTTCAGTTGGTCAGATCAACTTGTTGAAATCTTTCTGAGTCTTCGTGTCGTCACCCAAAATAATCTCAGCTTTTCCCTCTATTCAGATTTACTAAACAGGTCTTTTGCCTGTCTTTAAGTTATTCTTAAAAATGAGAATGAAAATCTAGTAGCATGCCACAAAATATCAGCTCATTAATAACATTTTTTTGGATACTGTTTAGTTGTTTCTGTGTGAAGTTTTGTTACTCTGTTTCTGCCTGAGATTAAATTTATCTTTTGATTAGAGACATTTTAATCCTTCTTTAAAAATACCAGTGTTGAAAAGTATGTTTTGAAGGACTTAATTAAGGGTTGTAGCTTACTGGACCAATCCTGGTGTGGTTATCACAAAAACCAGAGAAGAAATGCCTCCTCCACAGTCTAAAACCCCTACAGATATTATTTTGGTTGCTCTTAAGAAACGTGTTTGGTTCTAGCTTCCTAAACCCAAATTGAGTGATTGAGTTAGTGTGTATTTAAATCAACCCTCAAGACAGTGTCATATACCTGTGGGTTTTTAGATATAGGTGTTTACTGAGCTTACCAGTACCCCTATTTTTTGTCTCAAATAAAATGTTTATTTTGAATGATTTTATTTTTAGAAATAGCTTTTCTTTGAAAATATGCTTTAAAAAAGAAAAGAAAAGCATTTCTTTAGGCCTTCCTCGCCGGGAGGAAGAAATCTAGCCAAATTTGAAGAGATTGGAGATAGGGCCATGGTTGAGTCACTAGAACAAATTAGAACATGAGAACTTTGCTTTTTATTATTTGTTGGAACTTTTAGCAGCTCCAAATTGGCACAGAACTCTACTGCCCACTCACAGGTATCGGTTCAGGTCATTGAGAATTCTGGTTCACTTTCAAATGAAATAGGGGTGCCTGGGTGGCTTAGTTGGTTAAGTGTCCGACTTCAGCTCAGGTCATGATCTCACAGGTCATGATCTCACAACTCATGAGGTCAAGCCTCGCGTTGGGCTCTGTGGTGATGGCTCAGAGCCTGGAGCTGATTGGGATTCTGTTTCCCTCCCTCTCGGTTCCTCCTCTACTCGCACTGTTTCTCTCTCTCACAAATAAACATTAAAATTTTTTTTTAATGTAATAGAAACTACTGTCAGCAGTTTCTTTTTATAGTAATTCTTGTATATTTATAACACTTTAAAAAGTGTTTCTGTTTATTGGAGAACTTTACAGTAAACAATTTTGATCCTGAGTACCCACCATCACTTCTGTTTCAGTGGACAGGGGCCAAATTGGTCATGTCAGGTGAAGTCGTGGGAAAAAAGACCCAGAGGTCTACTAGAATTTGGACTGTAACGGTTCTTCGCGTTTTCAGCCTTTATTATTATACTTTATATATTTCCTCTTCATTATTAAGAATGGTATTTTGGTTGCTTAGCTTTCTTCATTGGCAGAGTAACAATTAGATTTTTGTCATGTCTTTTTCAGAATTTTGTGAAATTAAATGAGATGAAATGGATGTGAAAGTACTTTGGAAAATACAAATGTATATTTTACAAAAAGATGGGCCAAGCCTCAAGATGTTTTCTTAATAAGTGATCAGTACATATTAAAGCACCCCAGAATATTTGTAACTAGCAGTTTTCTCAAATACTGGGAGTCTTGTAAAATATTACAGTTTCTTAAAGCTGTGTGCTCATCTAGTGTTTGTCTTCCTACTCATGCTAATTTCTAATTTGAGTACTGTTGTCACATGGAGCAAATGTGCTGACTGCTTTGGATATGCTTTTCGGTGTCATATATGGTAAGATTTTAGGATAGGAAGTTTCCGCAGTTACTACTAGCTTACTGAAATTCTGTGCTCTGAAATTCCAGTATCAGGTTGGACAGCTTTACTCTGTTGCAGAAGCTAGTAAGAATGAAACTGGTGGTGGAGAAGGAATTGAAGTCTTAAAAAATGAACCTTATGAGAAGGATGGAGAAAAGGGACAGTATACACACAAAATCTATCACCTAAAGAGGTAAGCTGACTGTTCACATTTGATGCGTAGTCATTCTATTGAAAATGATGCCTTATGAGAAAGAGTGAAATCTGGCCATTTGTAGCAACATGGATGGAACTTGAGTCAGACAGAGAAGGACAGATACCATATAGGTGGTATCTGCACATATAGGTATCAATTTGCACATATAGGTGGATTAGGAGGAACTTAACGGAGGACCATGGGGGTAGAAGAAGGGAAAAAATAGTTGGGGAGAGGGAGGGAGGCAAACCATGAGAGACTCTTGAATACTGAGAATAAACTGAGGACTGATGGGGGAGGGGGTGATGGGCATGGAGGAGGGCACTTGTGGGGGGTGAGCACTGGGTGTTAGATGGAAACCAACTTGACAATAAACTATTTATAAATAAGTAAATAAATCTATGTTCTGTGATTAAAAAAAAAAAGGAAAAGAAAATGATGCCTTAACTCCAGTTCATTATTGAACATGTAACCCCTTAACTTCCTGGCAGGTATGCTGAGGTACTTTTTAAAATTTCACTGTGATAGTACCTTGCATTTTAGTTTTTTGAGAGAACCTCTATCTTTTATTGGTTATTTTCAAATTATAAAAATAATAACTGCTTATTAAAAAATTCAGGCAACATGGGCACCTGGGTGGCTCAGTCGGTTAAGCGTCCGACTTCAGCCCAGGTCATGATCCCGTGGTTCGTAGGTTCGAGCCCCACATTGGGCTCTGGGCTGACAGCCTGTTTCTGATTCTGTATCTCCCTCTCTTCTGACCCTCCCCTGTTCATGCTGTTTCTCTCTCTCAGAAATAAATAAAACATTTAAAAAAAAATCCAGCAACAGAGAAGGTTATAAAATAAAAACTTAGTCCCCACCTCTTGCCATCACATGTCCATAACCTCAGGGAGAAATACTAGAAACAGTTTCTCCTTCCAAATCATTTTCTACACATATGCAAATAAGCTTTTAAAAAAGAAATGTACTGAGAGCTCGATCAGTTGTTAATTTTTGTTTTCTGTGATCGATGGGATTGTACTGTAAGTATGGCTCCGCAGTTGCCTTTATCTTTCGTGCAGTGACATATTGTGAACATCCTTAATGTCCATGGCATTCTTTTTAAGGCTGAGTGAGATTTCCTAACGTGAACCAAGCATAATTGACTTAACCCATTCTCTAAATAAGTTGATATAGGTGCTTTAGGCAGTTTCCTTTCTGCATGTTACATGCTGGATTTCAGTGCATGTGGTTGTGCATGCCTTCATGCCTTTGGTTACTGTTTCTCCGGGAGAGCTGTATAAAAGTGGGATTGCCGCAGGGACGGGCTCATTTACAAGTTTGGTATTACTGCCAGATTGCCTACCAAGAATTTGATAATGTTCATTTTCCGTATTTTTCTCTGTTTAGTTTTTTGCCAGTTACATACACAAGAATAGTCTCTTGTTTAAATTTGCATTTCTTTATTAGCGAAGTTGAATGTTTATATTAGTGGACCATTTGAATTTCTTATGTGACTTGACTGTTCAAATCTTTTGTTCATAGTTTTTATATCTTTGGTTGATAGAAGTTCTTTTCTGCAGTTCTCCTCAGTTTGGCCATCTGATCTCTATCTTTGGCATAAATATTTTAAAACCAAAAATACACACCAATATTTGTCCAAGGGAGGACAAAAGATCAGTAATGGATTTTTTAAGAGTCCCATTTTTTCAGTAGGCCCCCCCAATTTATTAAAGGTAGGAGAGGGGCGCCTGGGTGGCTTAGTCGGTTAAGCGTCCGACCTTCGCTTAGTTCATGATCTCGCGGTTCGCGGGTTCGAGCCCCGCGTCAGGCTCTGTGCTGACTGCCAGCTCAGAGCCTGGAGCCTATTTCAGAGTCTGTATCTCCCTCTCTCTCTGACCCTCCCCTGCTCACGCTGTCTCTCTCTCTCTCTTCTAGAAATAAATAAAAATAAAAAATAAAGGTAGGAGAGAGCTTTGATCTTTTCTTGCCTTTATTCTTTTCATACTGGAATGAATAACAGCCATGTTTTTGTAGAGCTCCTCAAAGTTGTAGGTGAGCTATACGATTGGTATTTTTCCTACCATTTCAGTTTAAGACTACTGCTTGATTTATCTTGACACATGAATATAAATAAGGTTATGACTTTATAGGATCTTAAATGTTATTTATTTATTTTCTCCTAGGACACAACATTTCTGATGCAGCTTTGAATGAAGGCAATAATTTTGATCAATCACTTGTCCATAGAGACATGGTTCCTGTTCATTTGTTAGCACCCTAAGTATACCTAAAACAGTGTGTCAGTTGAGGGAAAAAAAGTGGCATTCTAGATGTTATGATCTACATAATATTTATTAAATTTGCGTATATAGACTTAGTCTTATTTTTCTAGTATTTTACACTTCTTCATTAATTGAATTTTACCAACATTTAAAACTTTTTTTATTGTAAACATTTAACTCTCTGGGGATTCTAAAATTAACCGGAGTGTTTGATACATAAAATTTTCTGTTGCTGTATGATGTCCATGTATGAATAATCTTGAAACAGATTCAAAATCTCCTTCATTTGAAAACTGAGAGTGGGAATTTGGGGGAATGTTTGATATATCATTACATGGAAAAGATTAGTTGCTAAATTTAGATGTAAATATAAATATGGAATACAGATATTTTTAAAAAACTAATCAGAAAATGGCCTAGAAAGAGATTCATTAAAATGTTAGGAATGTTTTTCTCTTGGTGGTGGGATTGTGGGTGATTTCAAAAATTTTTTTTTACTCTTCTGTATTTTTGTTTAATTAGGAAAAAAATGATAAATATTTTGAAATATCTGGTTCAGATGACATTCCAGCCATAAATAATAAATCTTTTGAAGTGAGCCATATAAATATGGTTAGTGCAAGAGTTGTTAGTGTTCTGAAGAGCTTATTTGGGGGTGAAGTTCAGAATTCCTCCCAGGCTTTTAATAGATTAAGTAGAGGGAAACTGTGGCTCTCTAGAGGCCAGCCTCCCAGTAAGCTTATGGCTTCTTCATTCCTAGAAGGAGCTAGAACCGTTCCACAGTGCCCTTTGGTTTTACCCTGTCGTGTATTCCTTTACTTCTCATGGCAGTCCTGAAAAATAAGCAGTATACATGTTGTACCTAAGAGGACACTAAAGTGTGTGTTTACCCAAAGTCACATACCTACTAGGTGTCAGAGTGGTGACTGAGGCCTGGACTCTCTGGGTTCTAATCCCATGCTCTTTTGGTCACAGGTAGGCAGTCCCAAGTCCTGGAACAACAAGTACTCATGACTTCGTGAGCACAGATGTCCCGTGAGAAGGGAGGGAAGGGATCTGATTGGATGGTAAGGGCTGTCTGATGCCCATAGAAGACTGATTTTTTTTTTAAATGTTTTATTTATTTCTGAGAGAGAGAAAGAAAGAGAGAGAGAGAGACAGTGTGAGCAGGGGAGGGGCAGAGAGGGAGACACACAGAATCTGAAACAGGCTCCAGGCTCTGAGCTGGCTGTCAGCACAGAGCCCAACATGGGGCTCGAACCCGTGAACCATGAGATCATGACCTGAGCCGAAGTCGGACGCTCAGCCAGCTGAGCCACCCAAGCGCCCCTGATTTTGTCACACAAAGATAGCAGCTGTGGACAGAAGCATGGGGAGGCCTGAGACAGGAAAGGAAAAAGGAAAGAGGGTGGCACTAATGGGTCTCAGGCAGTGTGGCAGGTAACTGCCTCTCTGGCAGTAATGAAGAACAACTGAAAACCTGTCCGGGAAGAAAGACAAAACTAGGACCCACTGTTGCTGTGGTCCAGGGGAGGGAACGGTCCAGGTCCACACTGAGAGTCATCAGTGTCGCGCTGATGGCACAGTAGCCACAGGATCATTATATTATGGAAGGGCAAAGAATCATTTAGCAGTAAGTGCTGAGGCCATCACTGTGCTGTAGGAAAGATGGCAGTCACGACACAGAGCTGGCGGCACAGCCTGTCAGACCTGAGTTTCCTGCGCGGGCATCCTGCAAGTTCAACATGCGGGGGACCTACCCGCAGTTCCTAGAGAGTTTTAGGAAGTTGAGTTTGTGTCCAGTAACCCCGGTTCCCCTTTTTGGCCTTTGCTCCATCGGGTAACCTCTAGTGCTGTGTGTGCTATCACTGTATAGCATCAATAGGATTGCAAACCTGGCTGGCTAAATTTGTTGCCCAAGGCCACCGACACCTTATTTACGTTTGAGATACTTGATCCTGAGCTCTGCTTTACCCGGTGGAATCAGCGTCTCTGTATTCCCTGGCCAGTATGCTTTCCCATTTCAGCAAGACATTTCTTGGTAAGATATGTATGCTTCATCTGAACCAGCAGGTTGAGAAACAATCTTGGCAAGGTATTAAAAAACCCATAATTTAGTGGCCAATGCAGGGGACTTCTCTTTCCTTGAATCTCAAATACATTAATCTTCTTACAGGGTAATGAGATTTTTTCCATTTTCTTTGATAACTTACAGTAAATAGTTGCCCATGGTAATTCTAAGCAGAAGCCCTAGTCCTTACTGTATTCTACCTGTGTGCTAGTCACCATAAGTGTTCTAGGTGGGAGCTCATTGATTTCCCATAGCAACATTTTCTAGTGAGGAAACAAAGGTCCAGAAAGGGTTAAGTAAGGAACTGGCCCCTATGTCACTATTGTTGGTAGCAGAGACAGACCGTGAACCTAGGCAGACATTGTGATTCCAGAACTTGCCCTCTTAACCACTTTGCTCTACCGCTGAGCCCTGTGGGAGGGTTACGATATTTTCCATTTTCTGAAGTGAACGCCAAAGGAGTTGACAGAGAAATTCTTCCAAGACCATGGGTTTCACCATATCCCATGTTCTCATAAGTCTTTAAAGTGTCAAGTCTTCTTCCAGAATAAAGTTAAACTTAACAAAGTGTACTCCTCCTGTCTCTCCATTGTTGTAAGTGTCCAGAGTGCAGACAGGTCTAGGTAGGCCCGTCTCTTCATTGTCCTTCAGAAGTGCCGTGTTCATCCTGTTAGCTCTTTTTTTTTTTAATTTTTTTTTTGAGAGATAGAGACAGCGTGAGCAGGGGAGGGTCAGAGAGAGAGGGAGACACAGAATCTGAAACAGGCTCCAGGATCTGAGCTAGCCGTCAGCACAGAGCCCGACGCGGGGCCTGAACCCACGAACCATGAGATCATGACCTGAGCTGAAGTCGGACGCTTAACCGACTGAGCCACCCAGGCGCCCCGTTAGTTCTTTTCTTCTTGCGATATGGGGTTGTCCATCATCTGTTCAGTTTCCCACACACTGTCAGCCCTGTCCTCTGCAGACATCCCTTGACTACTTTTATTCCCTAAACTCCATTACTTTTTGTCACATCTACTCATTTTGACACCTGACCGTGTATTTCATGTGTACATATTTGTCCTGTATCCTATTTAGCATAAAAGTTTTGAGTATGTTTCCTTATGATGTTTAATATACACCTAACAGTGGATGGTGGGGAGAGAGAAAAGACTTTATTGGACAAAGAATTTTGAAGCAAGGCAAGGAAATGTGTTGCCACTTTTGAGATGGCTATTTCAGAGAAAACCTTGCAGCTCTCCTGAGACTTCGTAGGAAGGAGCACACTGACCAGTCCTTTTGTTGTTTGTTTTCTCTCCTTTCTTGGGGAAGATCAGCTTTACTCTCTTATTCTTCACAAGCATTATGTCTTCATCATCTCCAGTCAGTCCTGAATGATGCAGAATTCATAAGGTTGTGCCAACCCCTGAGTGGGCTTGTTCCCCAAAGATTGGAACGACAGAGGTTTAATTGAAAATCATTTTAAAATTCCATGTGATTCCAGTAAAGAGCTCATTTTTATAAGCAAAAGTCATTTGCCAGGAACTAAAGTTATGTTTATGTTTAAAAATGAGAAGTTTAAAATCACCTGAGAATACAAAGGTCGATTATATACGGTGATTCACATCAGAGAGCATCTTTGAATAAGTATGAGATTAATAAATATCAGCCAAATATAGTAATGCATTCTTGAATCCAGAATTAGACAGCAACACAAAATTTTTTCTTTGTGTATAATTCTAAGTTTTAAATTTTGCACAGTTCACACTTATTTTAAAAATTTTTTAATGTTTGAGAATGAGAGAGAGAGACACTGCACAAGTGGGGGAGGTGGAGAGAAAGAGGGAGACACAGAATCTGAAGCAGGCTCCAGGCTCTGAGCTGTCAGCACAGAGCCTGACACGGGACTTGAACCAATGACCCTTGAGATTATGACTTGAGCCAAAATTGGACGCTTAACTGACTGAGTCACCCAGGTGCCCCTGCGCAGTTCACACTTCTTAGTCAAGAGTGATCCTATTCCAGAACATCAGACATAACTTCTGTTGTGTATTGTTTCCTCATTGTGGTATGTTACATTTTTTATTGCTATTCTCTTTTGTAATGTGAAAAACACTTCCTTTCCTCTCTCTCTTTGATATTTCTTCAAACCCTTAAAGTCTTGTTCTATCTCCTGAAAGTTAGCCAATTTGTGTCCGGTGATTTTAGTCCTTTCCCACAAATGAGGATTTTAAGTCATTTTGTAAATTTTCCCCCTTATATCTACCCATTTTTCCCATCTCCATCCCCACCACGTTAATGAAAGTTATCATTGTCTCTTTTCTCTTGAACTTTTCCAATTGCTTCCAGACTGATCTCTTGCTACCCGTTCTTTTGACTCTTAAAAATAATGCTGTTGCGAACACTTGTGTACAAGTTTCTGTGTAGACGTATGTTTTTATTTCTTTTTTCTTTTTTTTATGTCTTTATTTTGAGAGACAGTGAGAGCGTGGGGGGGGTGGGGCAGAGAGAGAGGGAGACACAGAATGTGAAGCAGGTTCCAGGCTCTCAACTGTCAGCACAGAGCCCGACACGGGGCTTGAACCCACAAGACTGTGAGATCATGACCTGAGCCGAAGTTGGACATTTAACCGACTGAGCCACCCAGGCGTCCCTGTTTTTATTTCTTTTGGGTGTGTATACACATGCATGCACACACTCCTACAGTTGAAGTCGTTGGGTCATATGTTCACTCCTCACTTTTTAAAAAACTGCCACTGCCAGACTGTTTCCAGAGCTACTGCACCGTTTTACGTTCCCACCAATAGTGAATGAAGGCTCCCATGTCTCCATATCCTTGATGATACTTGCTATTTTCAGGTTTTGTTTTGTTTTGGTAGTAGTCATCTTAATGAGTGTGAGGTGGTATTTCAAGGTCTTGATTTGCATATCTCTGCTGATGAATGATGTTGAGCCTCTTTTCCTGTGCTTACTGGGATTTGTAGATTTTCTTTGCAGAATACCTGTTCAAATCTTGTACCTGCTTTTTAATAGTCTATTTTGTTGTAAGTTTTTTTATATATTGTAGAAACTGGCCCCATCAGATACATGATGTGTAGTTTTCCCCCCCATTCTGTGTGTTTTCTTCCCATTTTCTTGATAGCATAAAAAGTTGATAATTTTGAGAAAGCTCAACTTACTTATTTTTTCTTTCGTTGTTATTTGCTTTGTGCGTCATATTTAAGAAACCATTGTCCAGTCCGAGGCCCCAGAGATTTCGCATCTGTGTTTACTTATAAGAATTTTATAGCTTTAGCTCTTAACGTGTAGATCTTTAATCTATTTTGAGTTAATTTTTGCCTCCATCCACTGTTGCCCACTCCAGTTAATTTTCATTTGCTAATGTTGACTCTATTCGAGGACAAAGTTTTAAGTTCTTAAAATTTAAATCTGGTTTTGTCATTCTTCTTAAAGCCTTCAGTAGCTTCTCATCATACAAAGAATAAAACCCCATCCCTTTAGCCTATAAAATGGGCCTCGATGTGATCTGTCTGCCCTCTGCTCAGCTCACCATTATCGTTTCGTGTCTATCCCTCTTTTCTCCTGTACACAGTCTAGCCCTGCTGAAGGCCTCAGAATGACGCAAGCAGGCCTTAGTATTTTAGGACTCTGGGACCTATCTCTTCATGTGCAGGCCCTCCTCACCCCCCAGATCTCTGTTGTCACTTCCTCAGGGAGGCCTTATTGAACACCCTCACCCCAGTGCTTGCTTGTACTGTTCCTTAACCTTACCGCACTTCAGGAGAGGTAATTCACTGGTGATGTACTGCTCTGTTTACTGATGCTTTCCCTGGAAAGCTCAGAGTAGGAATTGTTTGCATACTGTTTGCATACTATCACATAGCCCCCAACACAATGGACACTACATACTCGGTGAATGATTGAGGTGCCCAAAGTATTTTAAGGTATGTTACGTTTGATTATAAAATGAAAGATTATATTATTTATGACAAATTAACCTGGTCTTCAGATTCTTTCATGGTTTTTTGTTTTCAACATTTTGATGTTTATCCACAATAGAATGTAGGATGGAAAAATAGCACCGAACAGTTTTTCTCATTTTGTTTACAAGTAGATACAAAACTTTGATGGGAAAAGTGCAATTTGAAATGATTTGCTAAGGTATACCTGTCTCAGGAACAAGATTTTTTTTTTTTTAAAAGTATGCTCCTAGATCAGGAGAAGTTCAGTGTACATTATGGTCGTTTGTTACATAACTTTTAAACCATGGAAGCCCTTTGTTTTCCTGTACCACCAGGATAGAATTGTCTTGCCACTTACAGTTTTATAGCCGTTGTTACATTGACGTCAGATCTTAGTATTATCTCCTGTCAACACAGTTGATGAAACATTTTGGTTGAATTTTACCCTGAAGTTAGATATTCTTCACGTGCATTCAGAATTGGGGTGGGGAAAGAGGTATGTATGGCAAAGAACCTTTTGTGCTCTTGGACGTTATTTTTTGCCCACCTTTTTTTTTTAATGTTTATTTTAGAGAACGTGTGTATGCCCGTGCGAGAGGGGCAGAGAGAGAGAGGGAGACAGAATCTAAAGGAGGCTCTGTGCTGTCAGCACAAAGCCTGATGTGGGGCTCAAACCCATGAGCCTTGAGATCATGACCTGAGCTGAAGTCAGATGCTCAACTGACTGAGCCACCCAGGTGCCCCTATGCTTGACTCTTAAACAAACAGCCGAATCTAGATGTGTTTATCTTGAGTTAAGCACTGTCATGAATGATGGTTTATCAGGAGAGAACATTTCGTGATAGTCTGATAGTCGGGAAAACAAAAGGAGGAATGTCCTTGTTAATTTGTTTTTGAAGGCCTACCTGCATTTTGTTAATTCAGTTCCTATTTTTCCCTTTTGTGAGACTCTGAGCTTCCAAAGCAGAAATTACTTGCTAGGTAAGTTGATAACTGAGGTAGAAAGCCAACTTGTATGCTGCCCATCATATATAAATGTCACGCTTGAACCACCTTCTTAGGAATGTTTTAAAGTTGCCACTAATGAAAATTTTTCTCCTTTAAAGCAGAATTTAAATTTAATTTTATTTACTCTGTTTATGCATTTTCTGCATTTAGTCCGTAATTTGGATTCACTGAGGAAAGATGGTTTTTGGTGTTAAATGTAAAAAGTGAATTTGAAACAACTGTCTCAAAGGTTTGGTCATTCTTCACTAAGTCAGAATAAAATCTATTGTTGGAATTCATATAGTGGGAAAGTATCCTGGGAATAAGATAATAGGCATTTGGGAGGAAAATGAAGAAAAGTTAAAACCTTCTTGTAGATTTGGTTCTGACTGGCCTTTAGTGACTACCGATTTTCTTCTGTTTGGGTCAGCAAGTTTTAGAACTTTTGATGAGTGTTTAAGGTTTTTAGACTTTTGGGCACTATAGGAATAAGTAGGATAGTTAAAATATATTTCTGACCCCGAATAGCCAAAGTAATACTGAAAAATAAAACCAAAACGGGAGGTATCACCATCCCAGACTTCAGCCTCTACTACAAAGCTGTCATCATCAAGACAGTATGGTATTGGCACAAAAACAGACACATAGACCAATGGAACAGAATTGAGAACTCAGAAGTGGACCCAAAAGTATACAGCCAACTGATCTTTGACAAAGCAGGAAAGAATATCCAATGGAAAAAAGACAGCCTTTTTAACAGATGGTGTTGGGAGAACTGGACAGCAACATGCAGAAGAATGAAACTAGATCATTTTCTCACACCATGCACAAAAATCAACTCAAAATGGATAAAGGACCTGAACGTGAGACAGGAAACTATCAACACCCTAGAGGAGAAAGCAGGAAACAACCTCCTTGACCTCCACCGCAGCAACTTCTTACTTGACACATCCCCAAAAGCAAGGGAATCAAGAGCAAAAATAAACTGTTGGGACCTCATCAAGATTAAAAGCTTCTGCACAGCCAAGGAAACAACCCAGAAAATTAATAGGCAACCAACGGAATGGGAAAAGATAGTTGCAAATGACATATCAGATAAAGGGTTAATATCCAGAATCTATAAGGAACTCACCAAACTACACGCCCGAAAAACAAACAACCCAGTGAAGAAATGGGCAGAAGACATGAACAGACACTTCTCCAAAGAGGACATCCAGATGGCCAACAGACACATGAAACGATGCTCAGCATCCCTCCTCATCAGGGAAATACAAATCAAAACCACACTGAGATACCACCTCACGCCAGTCAGAGTGGCTAAAATGAGCAAATCAGAGAACTCTAGATGCTGGCGAGGATGTGGAGAAACGGGCACCCTCCTACACTGTTGGTGGGAATGTAAACTGGTACAGCCCCTCTGGAAAACAGTGTGGAGGTTCCTCAGGAAACTAACAATAGAACTCCCTTATGACCCAGCAATAGCACTGCTAGGAATTTACCCAAGGGATACAGAAATGCTGAGGCATAGGAGCACATGTACCCCAATGTTCATAGCAGCACTCTCCACAATAGCTAAAACATGGAAAGAGCCTAAGTGTCCATCAACAGATGAATGGATCAAGAAGATGTGGTTTATCTATACCATGGAATACTACATGGCAATGAGAAACAATGAAATCTGGCCATGTGTAGCAACATGGATGGACCTTGAGGGTGTTATGCTGAGCGAAATAAGTCAGGCAGAGAAGGACAAATACCATATGTTTGCACGTATAGGAGGATTAGGAGGAACTTGACGGAGGACCAAGGGGGAGAAGAAGGGCGGAAATGGTGGGGGAAAGGGAGAGAGGCAAACCATGAGAGACTCTTGAATGCTGACAAAAACTGAGGACTGATGGATGTGGGGGGGAGGGGGGGATGGGCATGGAGGAGGGCACTTTGGGGATGAGCACTGAGTGTTATGTGGAAACTAATTTGACAATAAACTATTTGTAAAAAAAAAATATATATATATATATATATATTTCTGAGCAAGTTGACCAAATGAATCAGTGACAGATCTTTTTGTCATATTCTCTGATGGATTGGTAATCTTGTGGCTGTGTTTAGAAAATCACCCATAGGTGTTACATTACACTCTGAATGGACCTCTCCCACCTTTGAAGGGATTGTGGTTCCAGTTCTTCAGCAATGAAAGGAATAATTTGAACTTCAGATATTCTTTGACTTTTAAGGTGAAAGTATTTTCAGTTTCTTGGCTTTATTTTTAGGAAGTTATGCCCCTTTGCATGAATCTTCCCAAGATTTGAAAGAATGAGTGCTCAAAGAATTAGTTCCTCTTTATTGCTATCTTTTCAGGATGTAAAGGCACAGGTAAATCTCTTTATGCCTCCGGAATCTTGCTTATAATGTATGTAATAGTGCGTCAGCTTTTCTTTTCTTGTGGTTCGGTTTGCCACAGGAGGGGAAGCTCCAGGTCATACACATGCTCTTGTGTACTGAACTATCCACCCCACGTCTTCTGTCACTGCATGGCTCTTAGGCTGGTGGGATTCCTTTCGGTTACCTTGCTTAGTTTCCAAAATTCAACTGAGGGGTGTCTCTGGTCAAATGCTCGTTCTTACCATGGGCGCAGAAGTCCTCTCTGGGGTCCACGTTTCCTTAGTTTGTTCTTAGTTTAGGAAATTAAGTTGTTTTTGAAAGTTCTCAGTTCTTCTAGATACAGAAGAAAGTATATAGGGCTTCAAGTTGGAGGATATAGTTTTGACATGTAATTATTTAGACACTTAAATGCTGATTATATGACGTAATAAATTATAATATATAATTAATTATATATAATATATGTATTATAAATAAATTAATGTGTACCTCGCAGTGCTATTGGATATAAATTTAAAAAGGCATGTGAAAGTACTCAGCTTCGGGTCAACTGATAATTAAAAAACCAACTGTTAGTTGGGTTCTCACTGTACTATGCAGTGTGCTAAACGTACTACAGGTGTTATCTGATTGAATCCTCCCGATGGCCCTGCAAAGTAGGTAATAGGGATTCTGCTCAATTCATGAGGGAGTTCAGAGAGCCATGTAACATGCCCAGTGTGCCACACAGTTTCTAAGTGAATTTAAATCCAGTCTGTATAAGAAGCCTATTCCCATAAAACTCCCTTCTTTACAGTGGGTTTGAGCCATTAAGAGTGGTCATTTCAGGCACCTGGTGGCTCAGTCGGTTAACATCCAACTCTTGATTTCAGCTCAGGTCATGATCTCGCGGTTTGTGAGTTCAAGCCCTACGTCAGGCTCTGCGCTGATAGTTTAGAGAGTGCTTGGGATTCTTTCTCTCCCTCTCCCCCTCCCCTGCTTCTGCTCACTCTCTAACTGATTCTGTGTCTCTCTCAAAATAAAATAAAAAGTGTTCATTTCATGTACTTTTCTTTGAGGGCTGAAAAGACTGGTTTTCTCATTTATGTTTTTTATTTGTAATGTGTCCCTCTATGTCTTTTGCCCACTTATGTATTGGGATCTTTGCTGATTATCCTATGAATTGGCACAAATTCCTTATGTATTACGTACTTCACCCTTTTCCAGCTATACTTGAGGCACAAATAACATTCATCTTCCAAACATGTAAAATTTTATATTTGATATGCTTTCAATGTTTTTTATTTTTTTTTTATTTTTGAGAGAGGGAGGGTATGAGCAGGGGAAGGGCAGAGAGAGGGGAGACAGAGGATTGGAAGCAGACTGCACTGACAGCAGTAAGCCCAGTGCAGGGCTCAAGCTCATGAACTGTGAGATCATGACCTGAACTGAAGTCAGACGCTCACCTGACTGAGCCATCCAGGCGCCCCTGTGCTTGGTATGTTTCACTATCAAATTTCTACATAGGTCCTTCACATTGTCATTTTTCTTTAGGTTTATTCTGTACAATGTACTTGAAAGCTTTTATTCAGAGACAGTCCAGTATTCTAGGGGCTGTTACATGTTCCACGGTGAGTGTGGTCTATCTAACCATACAGGAGAACTTCTGTGCTATATTATGTACAGGTTGAATAGCCTCAGTTAACTTTCAGAGTGCAAATTAGGGAGTAGAGCAGAAGCCCAACACAAACTTGTTTCTTTTTTTCCCTCTTAGATCCTGCATACAGTTAAATGTTCCTAATCGTTTTGTTGGTTTTACACTAATATTCCACTTGGTTACTTTGGGATTGAAAATAAAACTGTTGATAACTGTCTTGAACGTGAATTATGAAACTTAGAAGATAATCACCGTTGATGACAGTACTCTTTGAACTAGCCCAGTAGATGCCGACAAAGAAGTGATGGTAATACTGGAAATACATTCATTATTTCTCTCCTCACAGCAAAGTTCCTGCATTCGTGAGGATGATCGCTCCGGAGGGCTCTTTGGTGTTTCACGAGAAAGCCTGGAACGCATACCCCTACTGTCGAACAAGTAAGCCTGGTTCCTGGCGGAGTAAGCCTGGTCCCTGGCGGCCGTCCCACCCTCTGCCTACTGCTGAGGGGGAGAGGGACTCCTGGTGCCGAGGCCTCTGGGAAGGGTGATGCCTGAGAAAGCCCCCTGCAGGGCTCTTGAGGAGTCACAGCAGGTGCTGTGGCAGAGGAGAGTGTGCATTGGGTTCCCCTCCTGAGACCTTTGTGAGGGCCATTGGTTCATTCCCAGACCACAGCCCCCTGGAGATCCTTGCTGACAGCACTGGCTCCAGGAGTGAGACCTTAAGGGTCATCCGTAGTAAAAAACGTCTTTTGGTGTAGTTTCAATAGTATTTTAGTCATATTGCCACATAATAGGGGAGGAATATGGCAGACTTTTGAAACGGTTTCCTGTTGTTTGCTAAATTAGCCTTAAAGTGATGTATTGCTTTTGTGACCTTATTTTAAAATTAGATTAACTCCGTCATGTACAGTATCCTGTGGCGTCACTTGTGTAGAAACTTTTGCAGACACAAACTACTAATTGTTCTGTATTTTCAGGTAGTTTAATCTGCGTGATATTAAATAATATGACAGATTGTTTTGACTTTGATTAATATTCTGGAATTTTTCCCCTTTTATTGCCTACCTGCCCATTATGCCTCAGTTGTAACGGTGAGTAAAACTATTTTTGTGTTACATACTCTGCATCTTTAAATTTTGCTTTACATAGTTTATTTTCAGTCATTCCTTTTTAAATTAAAACTGCCCACCGCTGCATGGCCCCTCCTCTGTGCTCTTTCCAGCAGCCCACACTCCAATGCAAAGTCCCAGCGTTAGTGTGTTTTTCCAGCCTTGTCTCAAACTCTCCCCGTTGACTTTATTTTGCTTCTGCTACTTCCTTTGAATACTGTATTTGCTCACCAGACCTCTCAGCTTTTTTAATGTTGTTAGCCCTGTATGCTGCATGACAAGTAGGGTCGTTTAAATTATTTAAAAGCATGCAGCATTTGGTTTGCCTGACGAGTCTGTAAAAATAGGTAGTGATTCTTTGTCACTTGAGGATCAGTCTTAAAAAGTCAAAGCACGGATGCTTACGCTGGGGAAGGCTGCCGCAAACAAAAGCCCCAAAGAACTGGTGAAAGACCACTGTCATTTTGCTGTTGTGTTTTCTGCAGAATGAATATATGAAAGATGATTTCTTCATTAAAATTGAAACATGGCACAAACCAGACTTGGGAACATTAGAAAATGTAAGTTTCAACTCTGGGCCTTCAGCGCAGATGCCCCTGGAAATGGGAATACTGTCCGTTTTGTCGTCACCAGAATGATCTACCTTAGACCTGCCTGTATGCCCCAGGGCGCGTCCGACCCTCAGTGGGGCAGGCGAGCAGCCAGCAGCAGGCGGGCTTTCCCGGGCAGCTGCCGCGCCTGGTGCCAGGGTGGGCCATGCTGAGGAGGCCGCTTCTCTCTGGGACAGAGAGAGCAGAGATAACATTCACAGGGCTTCCCCAAGCGGAGTTCAGCCATTAGTTTCAGATTTTTTTCATCTTTTCATCTCCATGTTTGCCAGAGTTCCTCTACCAGGCAAAATTGACTGCTTTAGTTTTTACCTCTGCTCCACTTGCCTGGGTTGATGTCAGAGAAATGGTCAAAAGGCGAGAGGGAAGAGCAATTTGAATACTTTACAGAAATATTGACAAGCTTCTGGTTTTTACAAGTTGGTGCACATTGATCACTAAAATAAATTTCCAGCAAACCATTTATTTAGGACTCAGTGTAATCATTAACTTTTGACAAGGTTTGTCAGAGAACTTGGGGAGGTATCCGTATAGATTGATGCCCTTGGCCCAGTGGCTGTCCAAAGTGTGGTCCCTGGACCAGCAGTGGCATCTAGGAGCTTGTTAGGAAGGCAGATTCTTGGCCTCCATCCCATACCTACTGAATTAAATCCCCATGGCGGGGGTGGGGGGGTCAGCATCTTCTCTGTTGGGGTACACACTCCAGTTTGAGAGCTGCTGTCCAGCCTTATGATACCCTATTAGAGGAGAGAAAGTTCGTGTTGTGGTAGATTCTGCCTTTATGTGATTGGTGCCAGTTAATAGAACTTTTAAATTTTAACTGGTAGTATTTGACTTGAGTTCTTCCTGATGATCATTTGACATTTCATGTTGTTTTTTTCATAGTAATTCTAAAATTTCGAATCTAAATGAGATGATCTGGTATGCTGTAGTCGGTGTATAAGTTCATGTCCCTTTTCCAGCTTTCAAATGAGCGGATCTGTGACACTTTTTAAACAGTTCTTGATTAATTCATAGAGTTTTAGAAATAAATGATTAATTAACGTGAGGACTGGAGGAATTGATATCCTACTGAAACTGGAAAGCTTTGGGATAATCAAATTCAGGATAGGTTTTAAAGCACACAGGGCAGCTTCTTGCAGTCTAATTATTATGTTTGTCTAGGACTTAAAGCTTGCAAGAACATTGTTGTATATTATTGGGTTAAACATAGGTTAGGTACATTTGGTTATATAGCTCATCTCTAAGGACTACTGGAAAATAATAGTGACAGATTTCTGTTAATTGGCAGCATCCTCACACCTCCCCCTTCCCCACGCTTGTTTTTTAGGGCTACAGGGGGTAACAAGATTTCTAGATCCCTTAAGACTTCAGACAACTAATTTAGTGTATGTGTGTATATATATATATATACACACATATATATATACACACACACACATACACAACTGTAATAGTTTTGCACAGTAAGAATATCTACAGTTTGTTGTGTTTCAATTATCTTTGTCATTTTTAGGTACACGGTTTAGATCCGAACACATGGAAAACTGTTGAAATTGTCCACATAGATATTGCAGATCGAAGTCAAGTTGAACCAGCAGTAAGTACTGCATAGTCCTCCATGACATTTTAACCTGCTGCCTCTTAAATCCAAAAGCTTTGTGGCCTGTAATGAGTCTGGAGTTCAGGTGTGGGTCTATACAGCAAAAAGATCCAGAGAGCAGGAGAGAAGATTTTATTTGTCTTTTGTGTGGATTTCACCTTTACACAAATGATCCCAATGAGAAATGCCGGTATACCTGAGATATATAGAGGTTTGTTTTCATTGAGGGGAAAAGGGACTAACAACATTATTTTATAAAAGATTCTCCCTTGAGCTTCTATAAATAATGTGGGTCCCTTATACTTTTAAAGTGTGCTTAAGAAAGCTTAACAGTTGTATAGCTTCCTAATCTTGATTTTTACTAGATGTAAATATTTGTACTTGAGGTTTTTGACTTAATAAAAACACTTTCCCCGCCCCCCAAAAGTGAAGACCTGCAGTCTCCCAAAGTAAGACCCTTGTATTACTTTGCTGCGGCTTCTGAATGTTAACTCTGTTTGTATCTGAGAGTGTGCTGGGTGCTGCTTGGTTTGGCAGGGCCCATGGTTGTGGGCTTTTTTATATGTTGAGACAACCTGTGACCCTTTTCCTGCTAGTCCAGAGAGCAGACGCTTTGAAACAAGAGTGGCCGGCGTCCCTTTCTGTCATGGTAAAGCCCAGTGTATTCAGTTAGATTTTGTTTCATGGACTTTCCATTTCGTTTACAGTGCTTATTATCTGAACTTGAGCAGTGTTGTAAGTTGAAAAGAAATAACCTAAACAAGTGCCTGGGTAGCTCAGTCGGTTAAGTGTCTGACTCTTGATTTTGGCTCAGGTTATGATTTCACTGTTTGTGGCATTGAGCCTCGTGTCAGGCTCTGTGCTGGCCATGTGGAGCCTGCTTGGGATTCCCTCCCTCTCCCTCTGTCCTTCCCTGCTCATGCTCTATCAAAAACAAAAACCCCAAACACTAAATAGTTTTGCTGCTGAAACTTAAAGGTAACCTTTCTAAAACAGAGGTGCCCCACCCACCTTTTCTCTGCAGTCACTGGGGTGGAACCCTGCTAGCAGTGACCTTCTGCCAGGCTGGGTCCTGTTCTTTTAGGGTATCCTCCTTAATAGAAGTGTAAACACTAATGAGTGACTATTGTCATAGAACTTCTTAAATTTTAGTTGTGCTATAGTTTGAAGTTACTTCAGTTTTTTGGGAGAATTCCACCTTTGAAATTGTATAGGATTTTTCTTAAATCCTCAGAAGTGAATGTATTTTCTGTTTTAAAATCAATATTCAAATATCTGTTTTGCCTTTTTTCCCCTGTCTTTTCTAGCCATGATTCACTGCATGTGAAAGAATGGTGGTAGGAGGAGAGTTCTTGGGAGTGAGCCGTGAGTGAGTCGGTTAGTGGGTCAGGCTGGGCCGGCCTACTGCCTGCACCGGCAGGTCACCAGGTTATGCTGAGCGGCCCTATGGGTACCCCAGGGAAGGCCTTCAGGTCGTATGTTGGTGTTCGGGAAAGTTGTGCTGGCCAGACAAAATTATCCGACCTAGTGGCTCGTGGGATTGCATTCTAGGTTGTTCTCCAGCAGAATACAGGACATTTTGAGGTTTGCTGGGGTCGTAAGAGCAGTTCTTTGTTCTTGTTCTCAGACTAAAATGGGCGCTCAGTGTTTGCAGGCATGAATGCAAGTGCAAAGAGCAGTTCAGGCTGATTGTGCAAGAGCCCTGGAGGCCCTTGGTCTTCTGCCTTCCCCCCCCAGCCTAGCCTTCAGCGAGGAGCAAAGGCCCTGCTGGCCCCGAGGATGCAGGACACCAGCACTTGAGGCCTTGCTAAGGCCGAGCGGGTGCTTCCTCGTGTGGACTATTGTTTGGGGTGTGTCCCTAGGGAAAGAGCTGGGTTGCGCCCAAATAGGAAAGGGCTGTACTGAGAGTCCATGGAGCTGTGGCTACATAGCATACATTCTGAAACTCGATTGGCTTCAGATTTTGAGGTTCTGCCACCTGCTGGCTATTTAGTCTTGGATAGGTTGCTTACTCTCTGCCTGATTATCTCACAGCATTAAAGGTGAGCACTTAGAGCACCGCCTGGTCTGGTAAATGTTCGCCATTATTGGCCACAGTTGTGCAGGAGTTCTGAGCCCTGTGTTCACACCAAGCATTGTTGGGGAGTAAATAAGTATGTATGTGTGGTTTTATTACTCAGTGTTGATAGCTCCTGTTTTCCAAGTTACATTTGAGAGATTAGTGAGATAGAAATTTATTTCAGAGCTTACTGAATTCATAGTACTTTATTGTGATGAAGTACACATAACATTTACCATTTTAACCATATTAAATGTACCATTCAGTGGCATTTTGTAAAAGTATATTCATACCACTGCCACCATCCAGTTCCAAGCACATCTTCATCACTGCCCAAGGATGCCCTGTACCCATGGCAGTCAGGCCCTTCTCTGCCCTCTCCCCAGCCTTCGGCTACCACTGATCTGTTCTCTGTTTTCGGGGATTACCTCTGCTGGATAATTCTACGACGTGGACTCCAGAACAGTACGTGACCGTCTGTGTCTGGCTTGTTACCTGAGCGTGTTTTCATCCTCTCTGTGGGATGTGCCCTTACTTCATTTCTGTCTGTGGTTGGTAACAGCCCAGTCTGTTGATGTGCTCACCTGTGCATGGACATTTGGGTTGTTTCCATCCTGTGGCTGTTGTGACTAGTGCTGCTGTGGACGTTGTGTCACAGTAGTTGTTTGTGTGTTTTGTCAGTTGTGAATACTAAAAATAGAGAGCTGATACCATGTAGGGATGCTCAGACCTTTTGGCGTCCCAAAAAGAACCCTGACCTATGCATTTACTGCTGTCAAAGGGGAGAGAGAACTCTGTGTGCTGGGAGGTGAGGCTTCCCTGGGCAGTTTCTAAACCCAGAGGTGTGTTGTGTGAAGGCTGGTGGGCGGGGTGAGTTGTGGGGCCAGCACCCATCCCAGCAAGGAGGTGGGGAAGAGATGTTGTGGGCGGGGGCTCTGGGCCTCCCCTTCTCTTCCTCTCATCCTCTTCTTTCCACACTTGGGGCACATTCACCTTCCCTTCAGCTTCCACCCCATCTGTTTGGCCTTGAATAGTTAATGTTTGTCCTAGGATTAGCGTCTAGTGCAAACACCTGGACCACCCGGCCATCCTTCCTTCAGTTTGATTTTCTGTTTTGATTGGTTTATTTGATTCTGCTCTTTTATGTTCCTTGAAAATTCTGGTCCATGGTGTTGGGAAACATACACATTTGCAATTCTCAGGTGACAGCGTTGTCCTAGCAGTGCATGGGTATTGAGCGCCTGCTCACTGTGCTGCCGGACGAGCCCTGCAGCGTGTCCAGGGCGGGCACAGGGCCTCCGGAGGCTTGCAGTCCGGGCGAGGCCAGCCCAGCACAGTGCAACGCTGAACAAACGGCAGAGGCTTGTGTGTGGTCCATAGTGCTGCAGGGTTTCAGAAAAAAGAACAAATGATGTGTGAGGGTGAAAATCTGGGAAGACGGAAAGGAAGAGTCGTAACATGAGGAAGAGTAGGATTAGATGGTGAAACAGTCCACCCCCACCCTGGTGTTACATTTTTCCTTCTTACTCTCCTCACTCTGACAAATTGTAAGTTTATTTGTTTTTCTCTTCTCCCTAAGTAGAGATTGCACCTCAGTGGGAAGAATCTTTTCACTCTGAACTGTGTCTCCCCAGCTCCTTGAAGTGCCTGAGCTATATAGTAGGTACTTAGTGGAGGAAGGCATTGCAGGCAAGTGGAGGTGCAGGTGCGTTACCGACATGGAGGGGAAAGTTGGGATTGTTTTTAGAATTGAAGGGGACCTGAGCTACCTCGGCCTCATTGCTTTCAAACTGTGCTTTGTATATTCCTAAAACTTCATTGGAGCTGACCAGTTTCTCGGGCTGTCCGGACGGAGCGACTAGAACGTGTGGCTGAGGAGTTCCCACTGTCCCCCTCTGCCAGCACAGTCTTGCCTGTCTGACATTAGTCTTCACCATGATACTACTTTGAACACACAGTTCCGCAGCTACGCAGAGTGTGATTTCAGGCCTAACCACCCTGTTTGACAAGTGAGGAAACTGAAGCCCAGATAAACAAGTCTTTCTCCAGATCACTTAGCCAGTGCCAGAAATGGGAATTCTAACTCTCAATCCAGCGTTCTTTCTGCCGACCTTCCAGTCCTTTGTTTCAGAGCTAAGGCACTGCTTTGTCACTCATCAGGCTTCTGTCTTCCTTTCCCCCTGTTTTCTCTGGCCTCCTTCTGGGCCTCCTTCCTCTCCATCCAGGCCCGTGTGTCCTAGGGGTCAGATCATTTCTTCCAGGGAGATTTCATCCACATTGGAATCCTCTCCCCTTCTGCTCTTACCCATTTCACTGATGCATCTTGGTCTCCATGTTCACAAGCCCGTCACTTCCCAGAGCGTGGGCTTCATCACTGTTCACTGAGTGAGCCTGATGAGCTTGAGGAGGAGGATGAAATTAACCTTCGTGAGTCAACATCTTACAAGACCAACTCAGTGTCAACTTGATGACACCTGGGTTGGCAAGGAGCGTGAAGAAACAGGCACTCACATTGCCTGTAGGTGTGTAAATCAGCACAACCTGTTTTGCAGAATTACAAACGAACATGCCTTTGACCTAGCAGAATTCCATTTCTAGGAATTGATCCTACTCAGTGTAAAGTGACGAATATATAAACTTAAGACTGAAAATAGTCTGAAGTCTAAATGTTTCTCCATCAACAGGGACTAAAAACCTTATGGGTCACCTGTATTATGGAGTTCAGTTCGATCACTAAGAGGGAGTGAGCTCTAATTTGTACTGATCAGGAATCCTTCACAAGGTAATGTGGCGGAAGAAGGATAAAAAAGAGAATGTATAGGATGCTTCCATTGGAAATAGTGTAAAATGGAGAAAAAGGGATCGGCATGCATGTACTTGCTTGTGTATGAGACAGTCGAGAAGAAAGTGAAAGACGGTGGTGATCCCTTCATGAGCG